TGGCCAGGCAAGCTCGAGGAGAATGGTGTGGTGGTAGTTTGGGTTTCTTGCAGTAAAACCTGAGAGTGTCTTGAAGGTTTTGAGCACAGGTTTTGATGCAGACCTTGGGTTTTTTTTCCTTTTTGTGGTCGTGTTGTACTTAAATACATGTTTTCTCTCATTTCTTGCTTTGTCAGACCTCACTATCATTTATAAACCAAACCAGTGAAGCAGATAGGCTCACTGCCTCAAGCAGCTGGAGCCTGAGACTTGCACTCTGTGACAGTAACAGGCGATGGGACCTCAGAGTATGAACCTTTTGGAAGATGACCATGTGAAGAACATGGGCCCACGTGAAGGGAGGAAGGAAGTAGTCACTGGAGTGCATATTTAGATGTGGAGCAAGTGGGAAGAGAGGTGATTTGAAGACCGTGTGCATATACAGAAATGTAATTACCTTGTTTCTTTGCTCACTCAGAGGTGCAGGAGAAATGCTTCCTTATACAAGAATTTGGGCTCAGCAGGGATGTGCTTAGAGCAGGAGCCACATCTCCAAGTTGGACTGTGACATGTCCCTAGGAGGATGTTCATCTCTCCTCCTGGGGCTTCCTTGGAATCCCTGATTATCTCCCATCTCTTGTGGCAGAAACAGACTTTCAGCTGCTTCCCTGGTACTTTGTGAGTTACAACATGTCAGGTTGTCCCCTTCAGTGCTTGGGCACTGTCCCTTAAGGAAAAGGACAGTGAAACATATTGGACACAGTAGCAGAGGAGTGGCCTTGAAAGATGGAAGAGATCTCTTCCAGCTCACTGTTGCTTGGAGGCTGGATGTGCCATAAGGATATATATATAGCACAATTTGAGTAGAGTGAGTTTGTGTTTGGCTATTTTTTATACAACTAAATATATTGAAGCCATTTTGCCTTTTGTGGGAATAAATCATCTTTGCTGGCTTAGCCCTATGTATGATTTACATTTTGAAAAAGCCATAAATACTGCAGTTCTATATTACCTGATGGTGAACATTGAGCCAAAACGCACCAAAGCCAGAGTTCCTTGAAGCAAGATGTGCTTTTGATGGATGGGAATGCAGAGGAGGAGATGGCAGTCGTGACTCAGTCCTCAAGGAGGCTAGAAACCTTCTTGCTGCAATGGAAGCTGCTCTTGCCAAAGGATCTGGGGAAGGGACTCTGCCTTCTAGGCAAGCTGGGTAATTCACTTAAGTGTGGGATAAAAGTGCTTTTTGCAGCCACATGTGATGTTCCTTTGGAGCATAATAAATCCTTTTCACATTAAGGAAGACCCATAGTTGTAAAACCCCCTTTTGTAAGAGTCTTGCATATGGGTGGTGGTAGAGGAAAAGAGTGCTCAGTGAGCACAGGACTTAAAGGATTAAGCCAATAGCCCCTGCTATTACTGCTGCAGGGAGCCCCAGCCTATCTGCGAGCCTCTGTTACACTGGGGAGTAAATCACATTAGCTGTTTTACACATGGTGGATTCTCATTCGAGATACTGCAGTGGCTTTCTGGCTCCCTCAGTAGGGAAGCAGTTTTCTAGTGAGGTTTCCAAGAAGATGGAGAGCTGTTCAATGACACAAAGGCACTTTCCAGGCATGAAGAGCTGCTTCCCTGTTGATGTGATAGTTTGGATTGGGTATGAGAGGCACAAAGTCAAGAGGAGCACCCATGGGTGCTGTCTCAGATCTCCAGCAAACACAAGTCACAATGAGCTTATCTTCCACTGCAGTTTTAACCTAATGGGAGCTGTGCAGGTTCTTGAGTCATAGTGTATCTTATATCTTGATTCATGACATATAGTTTTATATATATATAGTGACACAGTGTCCCGTCACTGCCTCGCCACTCTGACGTACTGGAGTGATCGTGGGCTATATTTATACCTATTACCATTTCAGCTTGTGTCATCACCCAGCATGGACTGGGTGAGGCATGCCTGCAAGTTTGGGGAGGAAAATGCCATCTTCCCAGTTGAAATCCTTGAAATCCCAAGGCACTGTGGCTGTCGGTGTCACAGCTGCAGGGGAAACTGAGAGTAGGATTTAAAGAAGGAAAGATGATGCCGGATTCATGGGGAAGAGCATCCTCTGGACAAGTAGGGAGCAAAGTTATTTTGGTTGGAAAATTGACTCAGGTGCTTGTGTTTCAGTCCCATTGGACCAATTTTCCAGCTCCTGACCTTAACGTGTTTCACCATTGCCTTTCCTACCAGCTAAATTCCAACACTGCTTCCTGCCTCGTGCCCTCTTTATTGCCTGGCTTTGGGACCTCTCTGGGGTATGGCCTGTCTCCTCTTACACTGACCCCTCACTTAGCACATCCATGTTTCCATGTTTTCTGTGTGTCCCCTCATCCTCTTCTAGGCAAAAAAAAAGCTATTTTCCTTTGCTTTATTCTGTCATAAAAGCTGGGGCTTGGAGCAGCCTAGTCTAGTGTGAGGCATCCCTGCCCATGGCAGGGGGTTGGAAGTGCATGATCTTAAGGTCCTTTCCAACCCAAACCATTCTGTGATTCTATGATGGACCTGATTAGAATCATGGATTTCCAGCTTTTGGTAGGAACCCATCCCAGAGGCAGATCCTAGGATGTATTTTGAAGTACAGAAGTTGGAAGCCACAGCAGCTCCTCATATTGTGTCTCATGGTCGTTGCTACACAATTGCCTGGGCTGAGAGTATGTATTTTCATTCTGTGAAGAACAGCAATAACACAACCCGTTTTAGACACTGCACCACTGAATTTGGCTCAGTCTTGCTTTTCTTCCTGTCAGATTTGACATTAGCACTTCTAGAACCATGGTGAAACTTGAAGTGACTGTTTTCTACTTTCTCTTCCACTTTTTGGTGCTACTATTTTGCCAGATATGAATCTTAATGCCCAGTTTTGTCTATGAGAGACCTGTCTGAACCCTTCAGTCTCCTTTCCACTCAAGTTGTAAGTTCTTTGTGCCAAAATGAGTCTGCAGGAGTGAGTCAGCATCTTCCTTTAGCCCTTGTAAGGAAGGGCAGCCAAAAACCCTACTTGTTGCACTGTGTGGAATTAGCCAGAATTGTGCCTCTTTTCATCACTGCTTAATTTAATTATATTCTTATTAGCAGGATAATTACAGTTAAAAACCCCCGAACTTGAAGCATTTATTAAGCATTTATTTTCATGTTTCTAAGCAATTGATTCAATGACTGACTATTCTTAGTACCATTACCTGAATTGGCTCTTGATTAATAGTGATAATGAATGAAAAGAGCAGTTTGGGTTAAACCAGCCAAAGCACATCTCCAGGGTAAGGCATATAATTTACATTAGAAGTTGTCCAGAATTGATTTACTGACCTACAAACTGTTGGACACAACAGTTGTAGACCCCTTGGTGGTCTTATAGCTGGTAAAATGAGGGATGGAGTCCAGTGAAAGCGCCAGTATTAGTTATGAGAAATTCCCTTCGTTATTAATCCTTAATAACAAGTAGATTTGAGATATGTAGGGATGGATGATGTTTATTTATAGATCAGAGCTTGTGTGTGCTCGAAACTGGCCCTGGATTTCAACACTTAGTTTTCATGGGTCCTTATTGTTTGCTGCAGTTGATGTTTAATATGTCCATCTTCCTTTTCTCCTCAGTGCTCTTCCTGCATGTTTCCTATCAAGCAGTATCAATGGATTTCTGTTCTTTTATCCCTATAACAGTGTAGGGGTCTGATGGGAACTCGGAGCCTTTGCCTTGTGTCTGACTGTACTGTGTTGTTCTGCATGAGACAGCTGATGTGAGGCTCTAGGCACCAATAGTTACTGTCTAGCAATGCCCACAAACATCTTTCCCATGGTTTTTCTTTGCATACATGGGAGAAATGTGATGGTTTGCGTTTTTTTCCCCCTCTACCACTCAGTTCAGTGCTGTTAACCTGAGCCTTTTCTGTACCAGTGATTTCTGTTGTGATCCGTGGTACAGTCAGTGCTGGGGTCTGTTACACTTATGCCTTGCTGGCAGGATTAGCAGAAGGCAGAAAGTGCAGCCTGCTTGCTTTTTTAGCCTCCTTATCTTCTTTTAGTTGGGCAATGACAAGCCAACTGCTGGCATTTAGGGGAATAAATTATGCCTACAAGAATGTGCATTTAAAATGCAAATGAATGAAAGCATCAGCACGGAGCCTTCTGCTTGTGTCCTGCTGCCCAGACCAGGCACTTGGTAGAAAATCAAGTTGAAAAATGAAATGGGCTCAGCCTTGTGCTAATTCCTCCTGATTTAATATATCTTTAGAGACCAAGGACTAGGAAGGTGCTGAACCACTGACTAAACTCATCAGCAGAGCTGTAAATTACACGTGTGAGATTCCCACTGGCAGATTGAGAGGCCCAAATGAAATAGGATAAAACCCAGCTTGGAAGCGATTTCGCAGCGTCTTTGGGCTCACATGAATTGGAGTTTAAGTTTTATTGTTCTTGGAGTTGGCTGTTGTAACACTGCCTGAATACCAGCTGGGACAGCAGGGTTGTACAAGGTGAAAGCTGCCCATGTGTGTAAACCCAGTTGGTTCTTGAACAAAACTCAGAAACTGGTGGTGCATCTCTGAACATAATGTTTTCTCGTTGGAAGCTGAAGGTCTATTTTCCTCACATTCATTGATTTCAAGGCCTATAGGTGCCAGAAGGACCATGGGAAGAATATTCTGTGGCCAAGGAAAGATTTGCAGGAGGAATCGAGTGTAATCTTTCAGTGCAGGAGGCAGTTGGTGTAATCCTTCAGTGCAATTGTAGCAATGGTTCACTTGTTTCCTCCTTAAGAGGACATGGAAAGTATTATACAGCAGAACTGGAGCGTGGTAAATGACAATGCACATGTGTGGTAGCTGATGATAATACCTTGTACCTCTTGTTTTAATATCTCCATCCTCTTCTTTCTTTTTCTTACAGCCATGTTACTGAGGAGCACCTTGTCTTCTGGAAGCAGAAACACAGTGAACAGATGAACCTCTTCAGCCAGACATTCCCTCAGTAGATCTCTCCCCTCATGGAGCACCACGGCAGGGAGGAGATGAACTCGAAAGAGGAAAGTCCTCAGGTGTGGGCTGACTCTGCTGAGCAGGAACAGAATAGTGCTCAGGTGACTTGTGCCTTCCAGAGCTCTTGTTTTCTGCTTGGGGTGGTGTTCCCATACAACCCTGTATCAAAGACTGGGAATTCTGCTTTTGTTTGAGGAGAAATCAATCCTGTCTGGAGATTTTTGCATCCAGATGATCAGTGCAAACTACAACAGTGGCTACAAAGACATCTGAAACGAGCTGAACATTGTGGCTCTACAAGTTTCAGTGGCCAAATACATGTAGAACCATGTGGGAACGAGAAAGGCTGTCCAGACTAATGAATATTAACCAAATCTGTGGTCTGTGGCAGCCCATTTTGATGGCATCAGTCAAATCAGTTGGAACTGTGGGTGAACCTTGGGGGAAAGGAAGATGAATAACTCTTTCCAGTCAGACATCTGGGTAGTGAGGAAGGGAGAAATGTTAATTGTGAGTGACTAATACAGTCAGATTCTGATGCGTGCAGCTCGTTGCTCTGACAAAATGCAGCTGGGAATTTCTGGAAGGCTGTAAATTGATTTATTCTTCTGAATAAGTTATGAAGAGGATGCTGCATGTTGTGGTTGCCCCACGAGCTGAGAAATTCTGCCTCTCCTGGTGATTTCCAGCTTGGAAATTTGCAAGGAAAGGCAGTTTTCAAGGGGCTGTGTTCTGTTATCTCTACAATGGGATAATCATGCTGTTGTTTGCACATGGCAGTTTGAAAGCTTAATTAGGATTTGCAGAGTGCTCTCCAAATGAGAAATGCTCCCTGCATCCTTACTGCAACGCTTGTGTGAGGATTTATTGTACAGAATCAGCACTTAGCACCCGTGGGGGAGCACCAGGTGTCTCCTGAAGCATAAGCTACAAGGTGAAGCAAAGTAAATCAAATATGTAGCTGCTGCATTGTTTTATGGGCAAACATTTTATATGAGGACGAATATGGAGACTAAAACAAGGTTTCCTGCTTACTGTCCTATTTTTCCTATGTGCTGAACAAGGTTTTCAGTGTGTTAAGGGTGTCAAAAGATAAGCATGTTCCTCTTGCCACTGGAACTAAGTATTCTAGCTTGTTCAAGGTAGGCCATTATCATCATTTATGGTCATAATACTCTGTCAAAATGAACTTGTTTGGATTTAAACTGCTGGCCTGGGCATAACTTGTTCCTGTTGTCCTTGGAATTGTTGCTTAATGCTTTCATTTCTATGTTTCTCTGTTTAAATAGTTGAATTTTCTCCTGGTACTGCATGTACACACTACAGAGAAGCAATTTAACATATGCTATTGCTGCCTCATGATGGATGCAATGCTATTACTTGAAGTAGTTATCAAAGTTATAGGTTCTCTTAGCCATTCCTCAAGCAGAACAAATTCCCTCCAACTACAGAACTAGCTGGATGCAGTAATTATCATAAATCCAGAAAGGAATATGAGAGTAAAGGGAAACAATATACCAATCAATTCCATATATACCCCAGTTCAAATATGAACTTGCTTTCTCTTAGGAATCTTCAGAGCATCATGCAAAAGCTGAGGATGGGTAGGTGTCCTTTATACCAGTTACGCCTTGAGTGACAATGCAGATTAGAACCACAATCTGACAGTAGTTTATGTCTGGATTTGTATGTTCTTAGCATAATTCGATGAGATTTTAAGTGTGTATTATAGAATCCCAGACTGGTTTGGGTTGAAGGGACCTTAAAGCTTATCTAGCTCCAACCCCCTGCCACAGGCAAGGGCACCTTCCCCTCGACCAAGCTGCTCCCAACCCCTCTTGT